AGCCCACTGTGGCAGCTGCGGTGTCAAGTCCTCTCATGGTGGGGCATCTTCTTTTCCACTCCTCGCCCCTCTATTTGACCAAGCAGGATGTCCTGTTCCAGGGACTCGACTCTCCTGACAGCAGGTACAGGAGGCAAAGGCTCTCCATCCTCACTGCTGAGCAGCATTCTGGGTATCCTTCTTGAAGGCAGATTTCTTCTTCTGTCAGTCTACTTTGAATAGTGTTCATCAACATCAAAATTAAAACCCATCTGTATGTCTTAGGGAAGAGAAAGGAAAGTACTTTCTCTTGCTTGATCCTGCAAAGGATGCATAATAGGTAACCTGAACCTCTCTCTGTGGCCTGGGTCCCTTTTCCAAGGCACATTTCTCCTGGGGTCACTCACTTGCTCCCATAGCCTAAGGGGGAAAAAAGCCCTCACCCTGACATTTCCAGAGTTCAGAAGGGGGAGAAGACTGGGGTTTTAACATCCCCCACAACAGACAGTTTGCCAAGCACCCTGCTTCTCTAAGGAACCCAAAGGCATTCAGCTTTCTCGTCCTATGGCCAAGAAGCCCACTGAGCTGTCTCCAGACAGCTTTTCGGTTCTGTGGCTCTGCTTCTACAACTTTTTCTTGCCCTGTCTCCACTGTCATAGTCCTCCGTCCTCTGGAACGGAGAGGCCAGCTCAGGGATCTCTGGTGCCAAGGACTCACTGCTCTCCTGATTTCTTGGTGGTAGTGAGATCCCCTGCGTGAGAATCCCAGACACATTATTTGCATGGCCCCACCTCCACCATAGTGCCATGCACCTTCTTTATCTTATGAGCAAGCTACCCAATCCTCTTGGTGGGTCTTAGCACCTCACATTGGCATTGTCCTACTCAGTCATTATGTTAGAAGAGGCCATATTAAGTAAATACACCGCCCAGCACTATTCTTGTCCCTCTTCTTGTCTCCAGAACAGATCTGGCTAAAATCTAAGACCAGGGCAAGAAAAACACAATGAACTACAAGGTTGAAGAGCAGGGTTCTCCAGTGGCATCCTGAAACATCCCTAAAACATGTATCGCGTACATTTACTGTGTGCCTCAGCACTATTTCAGGCACCGGGGACAGAGCAATAAACAAAGGAGACGTGTTTACTCATGGAGATAATATTCATGGGGGAGGACAAGCTCTCCAAAGATGGCTGCAACAAGCTCCTCGTCCCACCTGGCCTTCTAGAACTGTACCTCTTCCCCTTCCCTTGAATCTGGGCAGGCTTGTGACTGACTGCCTGGCAGCCCAAAGAAGGCAAGGTCTTCAGGGGATGTAGCTTTAGCCTTGTTGGCTGGGACAGTTAGTTGCCTTTGGCGCCCTGAGTTGCAGGGCGTCTACCCTGACACTGCCATGCTGTGAGGAAGCCCGGCCACATGGGGAGGCCATATGCTGTGTGTGAGTTCAGGCAGAGACTCCAGCTGAGCTCCCAGCCAACAGCCAGCAGTCACCTCCAGATGTGTGCATGGGCCACTCTTCAGATGGTTCCAGGCCCCTGCTGTTGAGCCACCTTAGTGTTTTCCCAGCTGAGCTCCCTCCACTCCAGCCAGACATCACACAGCACAGAGAGGAGCCATTCTGACAGCGTCTTGCCCAATTCCAAACCCACAGACTCCACGGGCACCGTACAAGGGTGTAAAGCATGGCGTGTAAAACGATTTCGCTGTGCAAAAAGCAGGGTCTCAGACACTGAGAATAAGTGAGCACCATCACTTCAGGTTGTTATTGGTTCTGGGAGGAACATAAAACCGCGTGAGACCTGAGGGAGAACCATTAGAGGGGGGAGGATGGGAGGTGACATTTGTACTGAGGTCTGAGGAACCCAGTTACACCAAGATCTGGAAGAGTCTGAGAGGCTGAGGAGAAGAGCAAGTGCAAAGGCCCTGAGGCTCGTTCTTATCACAAGAGGAAAGTCTTGAGGGATGTGGGTAAGTGGCAGAGTGGGCAAGGTATTTGGGAGACCCAGCCAAAGGAGCAGGGTATCCTGGCCTCAGGTGTAGACTTCAGCCTGAGCGCTCAGAAACTGGGGGCGCAGGGTGTGTGGGGGGGATAAATAGGCGTGATCAGGGTTGATAAACTTTTGATAAGAGCTCCTACTTCCTGGTGGAGGACACAATGTAAAGGACACAGGCAGCCGGGTGGAGTGATCACTTGGGAGCCATGGCTGTGGTCCAGGAAAGGGCGGGACGGATGGCGTGGGGCAGGGTGCTGGTGGCCAAGATGGGGACTCGTGGACAACTTCGCGAAACAGAGGCACTGGGAGAAAGACGCGGGGAGGGAGACAGCGCCGTGCCCGCGGTCGGCCAGTCCCGGGCGGGACCAAGACGTGGGTGAGGACCGGAACCCAGCATCCGAAAGGAATCCGGGAGGGAGGATCCAAGGAAGGGCTGGCCAGGACGGCGCGTCCCGGCGCCCGGCGTCTGCGGCGCGGAACCGGTCCCTGGCCGCGCGCCCGCTCACCGTTTCCTGGCAACGGCCACCGCCGCCCCAACGTTCCCAACTCCGCGGCCCCGGCGACGTCACGGTCACCTTGGCGACGGCCGACTGGAACGCACCCTGGCTGGCTCCGGGGGTGGGGCTCGGGGCGGGGCCTGTTCCGACCCGCTTGTGGACCCGCCCCTAAGGGGCGGGCGGAGGGGGAGGAGCCTGCGTCCTGCGGCACGTGCGTCGCTGACGCGGCCTGACCGCGCGCCCCGCCCCTCCCGCCCGGACCCCGCCCCGCCTGCCTCCAGCCGCTCTGGGCGGGCCGCCGCCTCCAGGCTGTCCGGCTGGCTCCGCCTTCGTTCTTGTCGCGAAGATGTCTCCCCGGCCCCCCAAAGCGAAGACCACCGCCGGCTCCCTCCTCATCGACTGACGTTGGTTTATTTCTTGCACAACCTTTCTTCCCTCTGAAATGATCCTCACTGATTGCGTATTGTCTGCCATCCCCTTTCCAACCTAAGTTCCACCGGGTCAGGGCCGGATTTTGCCCTCTGGGCTTTGTGAACAGAAGCTGGTCAGAAGTAGCCGCACAGTCAATGTGAATTGGGTGACCTGGTGTATGTTCATTTGTCATAAGCATGCTTACAGAGAGCTACGATAGGATTACAAACAAAATACTGGGATGAATAAGACATGCCTCCTTCCCCCCCACCGCAGGTGAGAAAAGAGACCCATTTACGATAGATATTGAAAAATAACATAGGACTAACGATGAGGGTGCATTATACACACACATATATGCATGTATATATTCACTTAATGTTCATAAGAAAAAAACACCTAGTTGATTCTGGCCAGTGATTCTATAGGACAGGGTAGAACCAGCCCCTATCGTTTCTGAGGCTGTAAATTTTGTGGAAGCCGACTGCCTCATTTTTCTCTCTTGGAGACAGAGCAGTCCAACTTTCAATTAGCAGCTTTCAGTTAGGGCACTTCCTGTAAAAGACTCCCCCCCAAGCCCCCCCCAAAACCCCACCAAACTCACTGCCATCAAGTTGATGGAGACTCATAGAGACCTCATAGAACTGGGTAGAACTGCCCCTTGTGAGTTTTCAAGACTGTAAGTCTTTACAGGAGTAGGAAGCCCCATCTTGCTCCTGCAGAGTGGCTTTCGAACCACTCACCTGGTAGTTAGCAGCCTAAACCCATGACCACCACATCACCGGGGGCTTGTCAAAGATGACAACCCGAGAAACCCGTGGGGCACTTCTGCGCTGTCCTATAGGGTTCTTGGGTGTCAGACTTGACTGGGTGGCGGTGGGCTTTAATCATTCTGAAGTCTGACAGTCACATCTTGTTCCCAAGGGGCAGCGATGGATGGAACTGTGGACCCGTGGCTTAGCTGCCAAGTGCTTATCCACTGGCTTTCTTTCCCAGGACTATAATCCCACTTTACAGATGAGAAAGCCGGGGAGAAGAGTCATGCTATAAACTGCCGTATCCTGTGATGGAGTGAAATCCCATAAAGTGGCTAGGGGCACAGGTGGATGGGCTTGGTATCAAGAGTTCTGTTGCCCCCAGGGAGAAACCTCTGCCCCGCCCCCCCTCCTTTCACTCCCTTGACCTCCACATCGACCAAGCAGGCAAAGAGAGTTGGGAGGGATATAGAGAGCTGAGCGCTGTGCTGGTGGTAGATGCGCAACCTGCTTGTTCACTACAGCAAAGTGTGGGCAACTTGTGGGTGGGGAGGGAGGCCAGGGTCTAGCCTCTTCCTACAGTCCAATGCCCAGGAAATGCAGGACTACACTTAATCCTGATCCTGGGCTTTTCCATGCCGTTGCTTATGCTAGCAAGTGCTTCCTTGCTGACGTTCACTTCTTGCTGGGCAGGCTGGGTGTGGGACTGCTGTTCCTGATCCGATGTCTCCTGTTTATTGTCTGGCTGCCCCCTCGGTTTAGAAAGTCACTCGCATGAGAGCGGAGTCCCCATGGAACCGCCCCTCCATGTCCCTGTTGTCTAGAACAGGCCAGGCCCGGCACACAGTAGGTGCTCAGTACTTCTTGAAAAAGTGATAAGGGCCCGTTGTCAACTTGCTCTGGCTTTCCACGCTGGGACCTCTCTACTGCGCCTTCCCAGGAGCCCCCCGGCCTGAGCAGAAGGCAGTCCTGCAGCCAAGTTGCCGGTCAGATTTTTCCTAGCCAGAGGGCTTGCCTCCTCCCAGGCTTGACTGGGCCTCTCTCCCACTCTTGGGCAAGTTTCCAGCTGCAGCAGACTGGAATCCCAGAACCACCTGCCTTCCTTCCAGGTAGGAAGGCCGGAGGTGGAGGGACCAGAGGTGTGTGTATGTAGTGGTGGTGGCCCCCCACACCCCCGCAAGAAGCACAAGGGTGCCGAACAGGGTTTTTCTCACTCTCAGCCAAGATAATGGACAAAGGAGGGGCTTTTTAGAGCCTTTCTACATTGCCCTTGTCAGGAGCAGGGGGCATGTGTGGATAGTGGTGTGCTTCCCCACAATGGGGACCCAGGCCCTAGATTGCATGTACAAACAGTTCATCACCGAGTAGAGAATACAACTTGGGTTTAATTAGGGCATCTCTTTATCACTTGGGGTACAGCGTGTGGAGTCTGGAGGGGGCAGAGGAAGGCAGTTCTTGGGTTTTCGGGAACTTGCTGGTGGTTGCTCCACTCCTTGTGACCTGGGCCACTTGATGGGCTGAAGGATGGAGAAAATGATGAGGCAGCTCCTGACCAAGCCCAGGCTGAGCCCAGTTCAGTTGGTTGTGGCAGATGACAGGGATCGAGGTGCAGACCCACAGTCCGGGCAGTGGTGTGCACGTGGGCCAGGCCTGTGTGTGGCTCGATTATTCAGTCCCCAGCTGGGGGACCGTCCTCCTCCTCTTGGATCTCCGCCCTCCTTGCATGACCTGGGCCTGTGGATGGAATGGATGAGAGAGAAACGACCCACAGCAAATTCCGGAAGGGGCTCTTTCTTCTTGGTCCTTGTCCCATGTGTGCCTGCCATGGAGGTGTCCACCTCCTTGCTGGGACCCTGGAAGGAGGCACCCCAGTGGTGAGCAGGGAAGGTACTGGGCATGGCCGCAGGGCAAAGGCACCATCCCAGAGTCCATCAGGCCACTGCTGAGCCCGCCCTGTGGGGCTGTGGGGCACTGCTTTACCAGCGCAGAGGTGGGGGTGCCCAAGGTGAGGGCCTGGACCCCTAGACAGATAGACCTGCTTGGTGACCATGGTAGACGATGTCAGGACTGTGTTCCCAAACTGGTCCACCTCTTCCTACTGCTCCATCAGGGTTCTCGTGGCTCCGTAGAGCTGGGGGCTTGCTGGCCCATTGGTAACTCCTGGAAGCTTTTCTGCTGCCCAGTGGGAAGGGCGCTGGTCAAGGCATAGCACCGGGGGTCTTCCTTCTTGCTGGCCTGGTCCTGGGCCCCTTCTGGGTGGGGCGGGGTCAGGAGTATGCTTGTCACTGTGGTGTGGGGACTCCCCTGTGGGCTGGGAGCCTCTGTCGATTTCCTTGTGGCTGATTGGGTGATGGAGATACAGGCTGGGGGGCAGCTGGAGTCTCGGCAGGGAGGCAAAACTGGAGGGAGGCCTGCATCTTCTCTCAGTGTCTCCAGCCTCCGGCTTGGAGAGGCCTTGGCGGCTACTTGGCCTCTCACCTCTGTGTGATTTCTTACCTGGGCTTGATGCTGGGCCTCTTCAACTGACCAGTTGGTCCTGGCTCTACTGCTGGCTGTGGCATGGACCTGGTGGGTGCTGTGGTCCAGCGGGGTGCCCTGGGCATGAGGGTCAGGCTGAAGGCTGGACACGGAGCTGAGGGCCTTGTGCACAGCCACTTCGATGTCCAGCAGCCTGGCCAGGGTCTGTTCCTTCAGGCGGGCAACCTCCATGCTGACCCGACTCAGCTCCCCAAAGGCCTGTTCCACAGAGGCCTCAGGCCCTCGCGGGGCAGCAGACACTTGAGCAGTAACCCCTCTACCCTGGGACACAACCCCCAAGAGCCCTCGCAGTTCCTGAGCATCAACCGTGCGGCTGGTCTCCTTCTCCAGGTCCTGGAGCTCTTGTTGGCTTCCCTGTAGAGTCTCTCGGCTCTCAGGAGCTGCCAGCTGGGAACCCTCTTTGGGGCTCCCTCCTAGGTGCCCCGGGCCGTGCCGTGGCAAGGTGGGGTCCCTGTTGGGAGCTTTGAATTTGGGGAGCTTGAGGTGATGGGCGTTGCTGCCTGCAAGTTGACTTTCGCTAGGCTCCGGGCCCATGGAGCTGAGGGCACGCTGGGAGCTGGGCTGGCCTACAGTGGAGGGGACCTGGACCTTCTGGGGGGCAGTGGCATCTCTCTCATCTGGTTGCTTTGCCCCTAGTCCAGCCTCCGGGGAGGATCTGGGAGACAGAGCTGGGGGCTTGGGCAGCCTCTGGGGAGGATGGATGAAGGAGAGGTGGGCAGGTTTGGGGGGCAGCTGGGGCTTTTTCCTGGGGGATACAATGGGCTCCCGGCTCAGTGTCTTTGCCTGTGACCCCTCAGGGGTTCTCTGGCCCACGGGGCTGCTGTGGGGGTGGAGAAGGGGGTCTTGCAGGGGCTTGGAGGCTTGCTGCACGGAGTCCTCTCTGTGGTGGGTTCGGGCTGTCACAGCAACTGGGTGAGGAGGAGGAGGAGGAGGAACAGAGGGATTACAGGAGTGCAGGTGGGCACCTGCAGTCTGAAGCCCAGAGGCCAGAGGGGAGGGGGCTACAGGAGCCGCCTTCAAGGTCCTCTCTGCAGCGTGGAGGGTCCCTGGGCCAACTTTGGCCGGTCCCTTCCCTAGAGGACCACAGGCATTCTGTGTGCCAACCCCAGACTCTTCCCGCCCTGCCCCGACGCTCTGGCCCAGGCTCCCAGCCTGAGCTGGGAGGGCAGTCTCTTTGCCCCATGGCTGGGATTTCCCCTCAGAAGGCTGGACCCCCCTGGGCAGGTCAAAGGTCTTCACTGGGTGAGCAGTGTAGACGCCATCTTGAACAGACACCCACCCCCCAGACAGCCCTCCGGGCTGTGCTTTCTTGTCCCCACTGACCTTTCTGGGGGCTGCTGGGATCCTGGGGTCACTTCCAGCCCCTGACTTGGTGTTGCTGTGGGCAGCCCCAAGGGTCTGGGCAGGCGCTTGCCGAAGACCATTCTGGAAGGGTGTGGAGGTGGCTGCTGGGCCTGGGCCCTGCTTGTGCTTGTTCAGGACATGCTGGTGCAGGCTCTGGGCCTCAGCAGTTGCCGTCCGCAGACTCTGCATGGCGGCCTGGAGGTCCGGGGCCCCAGGGCCCTGGGTGGCAGGAACAGCTCCCTCCACCGTGCCCAAGGTTGCTGCCATTGCCTCTCGCCCAGTGCGACTCTCTTCTTTCTTTCCCGCTCCCTGCCTGCCATGGGGAGTGGCAGCATCCCCCTGCAAAGGGGTTGCCTTTTCCACCGGCGGTGGGGGGCAGGTGGGTGCCCCCAGGCCTTGCAGCTGCCCCATCCCCAGGCTGGGGTCTAGGGGAGGCACATGGATGATGCTGTCAGTCAGGGGCAGCCTCTGGTCCCCCTCGCTGCCTGGCACTGGACTTGGGTCAGCCGGTGGCTCCCACCGCAGACTGTGCAGGCCGCTCAGGTCCCCTTTGTCTATGCAGCTGGCCAGCAGCTGCACGCTGCTCCTCTCGGGGGCCCTGCTGGCTGGCCGGGGCTGCAGGGAGTAGGCTGTCAGGGACACCAGGCCCTGCTCTGTCTCCTGCATCACCAGCCCAGTCCTCACCACCGAGGCGGTGAGGCTACACGCCAGCACCTGCTGGAGCTCGGGGTCCAGGTCGTCCAAGCTTCCACTGCCTCCTGGGGCCGGCAGCCTCAGAGGCGTGAGCTGGAGCCGGCCAGCCGGGCCTTCCTGAACAAGCAGGCCTTGAGGGTCCACATCCGGCCTCCGCAGCACTTGGCGCACGATCCTGGGGAGCTCGCCGAACACCAGCTCCTCTTTCCGCACCTGGGGGTGCCCCTGCCCAGGGCCCAGGAGCACGTACTTGGCCAGACAGAGCTCCCCTGGCCCTCTGGCCTCCATAAGGATGCCCCCGTGGTGCAGGATGCCCAGCGTGGCCTGCAGTGCCCTCAGGGTCCCCTCGGCGGCTGTCTCCTGCCTTTCCAGCACCTCATTGTGCGAGGGGCCCACGGGCTGCTCTTCCTGGAGGCTGCCCCTTCGGATGCTCTCTGCTGCTAGAGAGCCCATGGGGCAGTTCTCAAACAGCCAAGTGAACTTGTGCACAGCACCCCCAGAGATGGGCTCAGGGGCTACCCTGGCCCCCTGCTCTTCCTTTTGGCCTGCCTCCAGGGCCTGGAAAACCTCCTTCTGACGAGACACCTGCCCCGAAGGGATGTCCACGCGGCTGCAGTACCGCACAGGCCCTCTGCGGCAGGGACCCGAGGCCTGCAGAGGCTCGGTCTCAAAGACATGTCCATCGGTCTGTCTGTCCCTAGCAGGAACCTGTCCAACCCGTAAGTGATGCTCTCTGGAGCCCTCTGGCCTGTCTTGGGCTTGGGGCTCGAACATCCAGGTGCAGGACCGGACTTCGGACTGGGCTGTAGAATCTGGGACTTCTGCCCCCTGCCTCCTGGCCAGCTCACTCATGGAACAAGTCTCAAACAGCCACCGCATGGTCTGCACGTCGCCCTTCTGGGGGGCCTCGGCCTGCGAGGCCTCCTGACCTTTGCCCTCTTCTTCCCGTCTTTCCTGCTGCTCCCGCCGATGGATCACCTCCAGGGGCTGGGTCTCAAAGAGCCACCGTGTGGTGCCCACGTCACCAGCCACCACATCCTGCTGGGTGATGCCCCGCACCACATCCACAGTGCTGGGGTGGCGGCCCAGCTGGTCGAGGGGCTGCGTCTCAAACATCCACCGGTAGCCCTTCACATCACCCCCGACCACCTGCTCCCTGCTGACAGAGGTCAGGGCGTGGAGGTGGCCCTTGACATCCTGCATGGTGTACACGCGGGACCCTGTGCCTTGGGGATCCCCAGGGGAAGCAGGCTCTTTTGCTCTGCTCATGCTCCCTGGGGCCGGAGGCTCCCCCTGCCCAATGCTGTCCAAGGGAAGGGTCTCAAAAAGATTCTTGAAGGTCTTCACGTCCCCCTTCGGGGTTTCCTTCTCAGAGGTACTCTGAGGGAGGGGCGGTGATGAGGGGCCAGTACTGGACACAAGCCCCTCGCCCTCGGGGATTCCTACCCGCTGCAGATGACCCACTTGGACCTTGCCTCTGGGAGGATCCAGGGGCTTGGTCTCAAACAGCCATAGGGTGGAGCGGACATTGCCTGGGACCACCTCCTCTTTGGGTGGGGGGGCCTCCCCTCCAGCCTCCTCCTCCCCCCTCAGGGTATCTAAAGGTCGGGTCTCAAACAGATGCCGCTGCTGCTGGACATCGGGGCCAGGGGGCAGAAGGTCTGGGGAAGGCTGGAATTCGTTCTCGTCCACTACGATTTCCCGGATGGCGTCCAGCGGCTGTGTCTCAAAGATCCAGCGAGTAGCACTGACGTCAGGCCGGGCCTCCTCCTCCAGGGAGATGCCCCGGATCACCCGCACCTGGCTGGGGTCACGGTTGATGGCGTCCAGCGGCCGGGTCTCGAAGAGCCAGCGGGCGGACCTCACGGCGTGGCTGTGGATCTCCTCGCGGCACGCAGCCTGCACCTCGTGGATGGCGCCCTCGGCGTCCCGGATGGCGCAGAGCGGCTCCGTCTGGAACAGCTTCACCGTCTTCTTCACGTCGCCTTTCAGCTCCTGGATCTCGGAGCGCAGCTCCAGGGGGCTTGGCTCTTGCACTGAGGGCCGGGAGCCCAGGCGGTCCAGGGGCCGTGTCTCGAAGAGCATCCTTGTGCCCTGCACGTCTCCGCTGCAGGCTGCAGGCTCCCTCGCTGCAGCCTCCGGCGGCTTGTCCAGGATCTCGGTCTCAAACTGCCTGCGGGCTGCGCGCACATCCCCTCCTGGGGCCGCGGGACCAGCAGGATCCCGGTCTTGGCTGCTGGGGAAGGCGCCTTCCTCAAACTTCCGGGAGGTGACCTGGACGTCTCCGCCCGGCACGGGCTCCCTGGCAGCTGGCTTCTCACGGTCCCCAATGGCGTCCAGACGCCAGTTCTCAAAGATCCAGCGCATGCACTGAACGTCCCCCTCGGTGGGCTCCTCGGAGCCCAGAGCCTCGGCCAGGTCCTCCTCCACGGCCTCCGCTAGGTTCTTGCGGAGCTCGGGATGGATGTGCCGGTAGAGGCGGCGGAGCTCGGTGGCCTGCCGCTGCTGGTGGAACTTGGAAAAGGACTCCTTGCACGGGGGCGTTGGCAGATCCTCCAGGGCCGGCGGGGGTGGCAGGGGCAGGTCCTGTGTGGTCGCCATGGGGACGGTTGGTGTGGGGGCCACCTGGGTCTGGGCGTCGGCCATCCTTCAGGGGAGAAAGTGGAAGTGAGGATGGGGTGGGGAAACCTCAGGTGGGGTGGGCGCTGGTGGCTGGGATAGATATCAAGGTGCCAAGGCCCTAGGGCTGAGCAACCCTTCGAGGACCTGTCCCCCGACAGACAGGACACTGGCTGGGCTTGGCTCACTTTTGCCATCTGCCTGGGCTAGTGACAAGCCTTGCACTTAGGATGTCATTGTTGGTCCCTGCTTCCCCAGTGTCACTTGGGTGGCTAGGGAGTAAGCAGAGCACAGTTGGTGGTGTGGCTGGGCCCCTAGGCTCCACAGCACTGCCTAAGCCAGTGGGCAGGCCATCCAGGTCCCATCCTGGCTCCTTTCCTAAGTCGCCCCCCACCCCCCACCCCCCACCCCCA